AGAGAGAGAGAGAGAGAGAGAGAGAGAGAAAGAGAGAAAGAGAAAGAGAGATGTTTAAGCAAGCCACCCCAGTTAATCGAGGTCTTTCCTGGTTTTAGCCCTGAAATTCTCATGCCCCTGGAATCTCCATTGGCCATGAGGAAATTGGGAACTGAGAGGGTTGGTTGCCCCACTAGAGAAAGTATAGAAAAGGGAAGGGAAATGGTTGTCGAAGACTGGGTACCAGTATGGGAGTCTGCAGGTAGCCTGTACTATCCCTGCCAAAGGGCCAGTCATCCCTGGTGTGTAGGATGCTGTACCCCAGAGACCTTGAGTATCCAGGAGACCTGGAAACTGTGCAGAGATGACAGCCCTGCCTCTATCTGTGCCACCCTTCTCTCCCTGCAACTCACCATCTGTCTTTGCAGTCCTCATCCTGTGAAGCCCCTCAGTACTGCTCCTGTGGAGGGCAGCCCAGACAGGAAGCAGACCCGATCCAGTCTGAGCACAGCCCTGAGCAGTGGTCTGGAAAGGCTCAAAACTGTCACATCTGGCAGCATCCAGCCTGTGGTCCCAGCACCCCAGCTTGGCCACACTGTGGACAGCAAGAGGCTGAAGGTGAGGCCCAGTGAGGTGCTAGGGGAGCACCTGAGTGAACATGTCGTATGGTGGAGAGAGGTCAGTTGTGTTGCATGGGGCAGAGCAGGTAGCTGGCAGCTCTCCATGTCATAGCTCCAAAAAGGGGTAGGACATCTCTGACCTTAGATATGTTCAGCTGTGGGGTCTGGCTTTCTGCACTGGGGAAGTAGGTTTTGGTGGACCAGCCAACAGCAGGCCTGGGTCGCGTGCTCACTCTCCCCTCTGACCATAGGACTCAGCTGTGCTGGACCAGTCAGCCAGGTACTACCACCTGACCCATGATGAGCTGATCAGTCTGCTCTTGCAGCGGGAACGTGAGCTGAGCCAACGGGACGAGCATGTGCAGGAGCTGGAGAGCTACATCGACCGGCTGCTGGTGCGGATCATGGAGACCTCACCCACACTGCTGCAGATCCCCCCTGACCCTCCCAAGTAGCCCTCCTCACCCCATCCCTGGAGGATTGTTGAAGACCTGTGTGCCCGCCCTCCACTGCCCTACTTTCACTTGGGCAGGGTGTAGCCTGCCTTCGTGGTCATTCCCTGCTCCCTTCTCCATCCTGTCTTTGCAGGGGCTGCTGGAAGGAGGCCCTTTGGACTCAAACTGGGGGGTCATGGGTCATGTCTTTGGGAGCCCTGGATCTTTCCTGCCTGCCCATTTTCATACCTCTTAGCTTTCCAGGGAATTGGAATAAGGATGTTTAGCTGTCTAGATGGAGCAGGGGTGAGGTATGGTTTCTAGGGTGAGATGTGGAATCTGTGACGATACTGTTGCCACCACAGGTTAATCACCCCATAAGGTTGGTCAGTCATTTCTTCCCTTTGCCAATCCTTCATCTCCATTTTCCTCCAATGGCCGGAGGGCCTCCTGGTATTAACTGGGACAGGGACCAAATTGCTTGCTTGTTTGTATGTTGTAGACAACCAGGACACCTACACCTCAACCTTGCACCTGTCCCCTGGTGGTCTAATCCAGTTTCTGTTTCTGTCTGGATCCATATGCAGAGCATGTATTGTGTGGGCAGAGGTGGTGGTATGTTTCTGTGTTGTTCAGCTGCTCCCTGTCCCTCCTCAGACCATCACACTGAGTATTCCAGTGGCAATGGGAAGTGGGGCTGCGCACAGGAAGAATGACTCCTTGCTCTTGAGGTTCTCCCCACCTCCCTCACATGAGCCTTTCCAGGTTGGGGCTTTGCACTGTTTATGTTTTGGGGATCAGGCCTCTGTCTGTTGTTTTGTCCAGATGCCAAAACTGTGCCACTGTGAGGTTGGAACTTTTGGAAACGAATTAAAATGTGCCTTTCATGGGTAAGGACAAGAGCCTCTGGATGTAGGCCTCTCTGGCCTTGGTGTCCCCTCCCTCCTGTTGAGTGCATGGGAATGGCTCTTAGGGTCCTAGAAGAGGAATGTGGCCCAGGCTCTTTGCTTCCATGAGAATACTTTAGCTAAGGCTCTGGCCAAGTTGCTGCTGCTCCCTAAGCCTTCCTGCCATCTCCCTTTCCTCCCCTGTCCCCATTCAGAGCATCCCAGGATTAAAAACCTAGTGGGCAGTAGGCCTGGGGCTGTCTTCTCCTTCACTGTGTCTGGCCTTGGTTCTCAGTTGTGCTGGACCAGTTAGCTGGTCTGAAGTGGGAGGCTGCACTCTGCCTTAGAGGATACCTATATGTAGGAAAATGCCTTGTGGCTCTCCAGCTGTTCTGTAAGCTGCTGCACAGCCTGTCCCTCCTCTTGTCTCATCCCCCTGCCTTGCCTGGCTTGGCTACAGCACACTTTGAAGCCAAGTATCTGCCCTGTGGCCCAGCTCCTGGTTTGCTTGAGAACAATGCAGGCTTCCCCCATGGCATCTGTGGGGGTCCTTTGGTAGCTGGGGCACCCTGCATTAGCAAAAGGTGTGTGTGCGTAGTAGGACTGGGAAGATGCTGAAGGAAGATGCTTTGCCCCAGTGGAGAGGCAGTGGCCTCTTTCCAGCTGTCTCTTCATGACAGCTATGGGCTTGCTCCGAAGGCCTCAGAAAGAGATGTGCTCCGTAGGTGATGCCAGTCTTCTGCCAGCATAGGCAGAGGAGTCCTATGGTGAGGTCATCCACTGTGTAGAGTTCCCAACCCTAGGCCCACTCATCAGAGCTGGGAAAAGAGGCACTCATGCCCAGATCTTTGGCCACTTTCCGGGGGGGAGGGTATTCGGGGTTGGAGAGTGCCTTTCTTGAGGAAGTGGGGCAGTGTCACTCCTCTTCTAGATACTCTGTTGGATTTTATTTGGTCTCAGTCCTGTCCCTCATCTTTGACCCATCTCTGTTGATTGGTCTCCCTCCCTGGCCAGAGTAGGTATATCTTCTAGAGAGGTTCTGAACTGAAGCCCAGGGTTCTGCTCGATGTGTCTGCTCCTGGCCACACATCACAGGAGAGTGCAGTGGGCTGGGCAGAGAGCAGGCACATTCTGCTTAGCTGTTTGTCTTCCTAGTTGAAATTCCTGTTTATAAAGAGCTTGTTCTTCATGTTTTAAGCACTTTATGAAGAATAAAAAGTCCATGTACCACAGATAGCCTGGTGTGTTCCTGTTTTAAAATGAATGGGTAAAGGAGGTTACTAGTGGGAGAAGGCAGTAGGACTCTTGGATGACACTGATTTGCCCTAACAACACAGTGTTGCCTCATAGCTTGGGCTCCTAGGATGCCTGCATTTATTGGTCACCAATAATAGGTGTATTGATTGGGCTCTGTGGTGGAATAAAGAGGGTGAAAGATGTGATTTTTTTTTTTTTAAGTTACTGAGCCTGGTAAGGGGAGATAAGATATAAACTGTCCTTTGTAGCAAGCCGGAATCTCCATCTTTAGGAAAATTCTTTTCCTCATAGCTCAGCCACTAGTGGGTGGATAGGAACTTGGACTGCTACAACTCATGCAGTGTCTAGAAGGACATAGGGCAAGCTCGAGTCAACTGTACACCCCCCTGTGAGTTAGAAGCCCAGCATGGTCTTCCTTAGAGTCAAGATCAAGTCCCTTCCTTCTTTCCCTCCTCTCCCTCTTCTCCTTTCCTCCCCTCCCTCTTCTCTCTTCTCTCCTCTCCTCTCCTCCCCTCCCCACTGTTCCCTTCTCTCTCCTCATCTTTTTGAGACAGGGTCTCACTGTGTAGCCCTGGCTGATCTGGAATTCTGTGTAAACAAGGCTGGCCTTGAAGTCATAGAAAACCATCTGCCTGTCTCCAGAGTACTGATAGTAAAGGGATATGCCATCATGCCCTCCAAGACCAAGTAATTTGTGTCTGGCTGCCTCTCTACCCTCTACTCCCAGTCTAGTTTATTAACCAGATAACTGAGTTGGGACTGCAGATGCTCCATTCTGCAGGAGTGTGTGTTTATTACCTGTGAGTGCTTGATACTTAGATTGCAACACTCCCCATTTGACATCCCTGTTGCTGATCCTTGATAACAGCTCATGCCTACTTCCTCCCAGGAATTGGGCCTGGGAAGAATCTTCCTTGTTTGATCAAAAGAGGTGGGAGCTCTTACCACACTATGACACCCAACACATTTTGTGCCTAGTGTGAGTTCTCCTGTGTCTGCACTGAAGATTGAGTGAACCAAAATCACAGCTCCTTGCCCTGTTAGTCTTAACAGTAGGAAAGATATTTAAACCCATAGTTGTAGATGCATCATGTCTGGTAGCTCACACCTGTAATCCCAAAACTTGAGAGAGACAGGAAGAAAGATTACAAGTTTGAGGTCAGTCTGGTGAGTCCCAGGCTAGCCTAGGCTATAGACACTGTCTTAAAAAAAAATTTTTTTTTTTTTTGGTGCTGTTTAGTTTTTGTCAACTTGAACCAGAGTCATCTGGGAAGAGGGAATCTCAACTGAGGAATTTCCAAGATCATATTGGCCTGTGCCCATGTCTGTGAGGCATTTTAAAATTGCTAGTTGATGTAGAAGGGTCCAGACTACTGTGGGCAGTGCAGCTCTTGGGCAAGTGGGCCTGGGCTATATAAGAAAGATAGCTGAAGCAGGGCCTGGTGGCTGACGCCTTTAATCCCAGCACATGGGAAGCAGAGGCAGGCTGATGTCTGTGAGATAGAGGCCAACCTGGTCTACATAGAAAGTTCCAGGCCAGCTGGGGCTACAAGAGACCCTATCTCAAAAAAAGACAAAACAAAAACCCCCACCAAACAAAAAAAAGACAGCTGAGCGAACCAGGAGGACACAAGCCAGTAAACAACGTCCTTCATGATCTCTGCTTCAGTTCCTGCCCTGAGTTCCTGTAAGATGAAATAAACCCTTTCCTCCTCCAACAGAAAGCAAACTAGGACAAAGTTACACAAGCAGTGATGCAAAAAGAGTGCTGTGCGATACAGAAGACTGAAGAGGATTTTGTGGTAGGATGATGGAAATCACGAATGCTTAGAGGTTATAAAGAGAACCAGCGTCAGCTAGGCCAAGATCAAAGTATAAGTAGAAAGTTCAAGGGTCACAGCAGCCCCAGACCAGCTTGTTTCATAAAGTGAGTGACAGAATGGCTGGAGGAAGGGTGGCAAGGGAAGAAACTGCAGGAAAGTTCCGCAGTGCAATTGCTCGCTAAAAGTCTTCCAAATTAACTCCACTTGGCCTTGAGTCCTTGCCCATCTGCTGCTGGGTCCGCTTGTGTCGTAGGGCCTGGTCCCAGGTCCGCTCCAGGCGAGACGTCTACAGGGACAGCTTAGACTTCAGGGATCATACGCACAGGCACACGCTCCCTGGACTGCGGACGCCTGCAGCTCCAGCAGGAACTGAGACTGGGTCTGCGTGGGTGCAACTCTCTGCAGTCTGAGGTTGTCATGCTCCGAGAGGGAAAAAACTACACTCCCCACCAGCCTCTGCGCGCCCTGCTCTGCGGTTGCTCACAGCCAATCGGGAGAGGCAACTGTGGAGGGGGCCGAGGAGGGACATTTTAAAAGGGCCGGGGACAGCAGGCGTCAGTGGCCATGGCGGATACAACGACAACAGCCTCGGCGACGGCGGCCAGTGCCGCGAACGCCTCTCCGGATTCGCCCCCTTTCCAGCTGGGTAAACCCCGGTTCCAGCAGGTGAGGTTCGGGCGGTGGCATGCGGGTGTGTGTGGGGTGGCATCGAGGAGGGGACTGAGCTGAGTCTCCTGCAAAGTCACTCCAGCCCGAGGGTCTGCAACCCGCAGCCACACGAGCCTGCAGCTAGTGCGGGGACCTGAATACAGCCGCTCCTTTCCCATTGGTCAGCGGGACGGGCGATGTCTCCCACATTGGCTCCCTATTGGCAGCTGGCGCCGTCACTCTCCGGCTGCCCGAGTCCTTGCCACCGCCCCTAACCCGAGGCGCTCTGTGATTGGCCACGCGGGCCGCGGCCGCTCGCTGGTCCTGGGTCCGAGCGGCTCTTGTAGGGTCCCTTTGGCAGGGGGCGCAAAGTTCCAGTCTTGCTCTCGATGGAAGGGTGACGTGTTCGAGACGTCTCCCAACTTTTCTCCAGGTGGGACTGACCTCACTTCTGAGCTGGGGGCAACCATTGGGCAGCGCTCCTGGGTCACACCCCACGGTTACGCTCCGGTTCCCCGACCCCTATTGGCGTGCTGGGTGCGCCCTAGGCTGGAGACCGGCTGCTCGAAAGCGGCGGCCGGATCCTGATCCTCCGGCTGGGGCTTTAGTGACGCTGCCAGCCTGCCGACTAGCATGCTCTGCTGGGATGGGGCTGGGATACGCCGGAGAGCTGGTGTGCGGTGAAACGCTGTGTCATCCCTCGGGGCTCCCTCGCTGCTTCCGAGAGTCCCGAATGCGCCCACCGCCCCACACCCGCGGTGCTTCTGCGCCGAGCAACGTTGGTCCCCACCCACACCTGCTTGGGCTCTTCGGGGTCACGGTGACTGTGGTTCCCCCGCGACACACACACTCCAGAACCCCAGCAGGACATCTCTAACTCGGCCGCCGAGCCGCGGATCCAGTCTGAAGCCCGAGGGTCTGCGGCTCAAGTCCCTAGGTTCCTGGCTCCAACTCGGACCAGTACGTCCGAGCTTCGGGCCTTGCCAGGAGTGGGGACAACCGATGCTCTAGAGAGAATTTGAAGGGAGAAAGAAATGGCACAAAGGTGGCCTTTTTCTAGGGGATGGGAAAGCACGTGGAGGTGGGAACGGAACTGGATCCAGCTCCCAACTTTTCTGATAATTTAGTAGCTGAGCTCCTGAGCCTTCTGAGAAAATGTCCCTCGGACTTTTAAACAGGACTTGATTCCTTTTAAAAATAGACTCTCCGCCTGGAGGAGTCTGTGGAGACACTGCATGTCTCTGCTAGTATAAGATGCCACCCATGGCTACACCATCTATCTGGCCTTGAGTGACCCTCCATTGTTCCCTCCTCCCCCCAATTCCTAAAGCAGGCACTCTCCTCAGGGAAACACTCCTTGGTGCCACTACCCTGTGGACCTTTCAGATCACCAAACTCCCTCCTGCACACTTCTTTGGCCACCTCCAGTAGGAACCCCTTCTACATTCTTCCTTGTGGTCCTTTAGCCCTGAGAAAAGGGGCTAATCTAACCCTGAGACAGTCTTTTAATAACGTCTTGAATAAGTGCTGCTTTTCCCTGGTGTCCGATGTCTGGGTGGCTCTTGGGACATCCAGCAGACCTTTACTGATTCCTTTTATTGGATTTCAGCACTGGGGGACTATTTGTTCTGATCCCTGCTGGAGCATGTTTGAGGAGACCCAGTTCCTGCAGCTGTTCATATCTGTTACCTCTGGCAGTACACTGTGCAGTAACCAGGACTGAAGCTCCCCACCACAGTCAGGGTAATGGCCTACATAAGGAAGGGTGCTGAGCAGATCTGATTTACCCATGTTGAGAACTTAACTCAGTACCTGCTCCTCCCACCTGCTCTCTGGCTCTGCAAATAGTCCAGCTTGCCACTCAAATGCTAGAATTATAAACCTGGATTCTCATATACTTCCTTGCCCTTTTAAGTATAGCCAGAGGCTGTTATCTCACCCCCTCAACAGAACAGCTCTCATAACCACCTTCTCCAAGGCTAAGCCAGCCCTCCTTACCCTTATTTCCTGGGCCAATGTGGAAGCCTTGGGCAGGTCTCAGGCTTCCAGTCCTGCTCTAGGCCTCTTCCAATCCTTCCCTCTTCTCTATGGCAGAGACCCAGCAATGCAGGTCTGATCAGGTGATTCCCCCTATACCCTGCAGTGGCATTCCTCTGCTTCTGAGATAAAGACTCATATCTGAAGGAATCTAAAGTTCTGCATAGACCCACTCCTGCTGATATCTACCTTGAAACCCACCCACTTCTTTCCCTCACATTGGCCGTTTTTTGACCTTTGACCTATCTTTTTCCCTCCCATGCCTGAGCCATCTGCCAGAACATCTGTCCCCTCAACATTTCTCCGGATCTTCCTTTTCCCATCATTTCCTTGAAGGAGCTTCATCCTCCCCCTGCACCTCATTAGTTTTTGTACTCTCAGTGGCAAGACACCTGCATAGTGCGTATTCTGATTTGGGGTGACTGCTTCATTACTATTTGTCTCCCCTTGAGTGACTTCGAACCCCTTCTTCCTGTCCCTGCTCAAAGGTCTCTCTGTGATGGGGGCTGAGGGAGCAGCCCTGAGCAGGATCAGAGGGTAGACAAAACCCTCGATAGGTTTTGGTCTGTACTATTTTTCTCTTCAGAAGATCATGATGGTGATCAAGCATTGTTCTATTTTTTTTTTCATATTGACTTATGGAATTTTTACAGCCTCGTGAGGCAAGTAGAGTGATCTCTAGTTTCCAGATGAGAAACTTGCACCTCACTTACAGATTCAGTAACTTCCCAGGCAGCCTGGCTCCAGAGTCCATTCTTCTTTATATGCTGTCAGCTTTCTTTTTGGCTGAGTTAGTGCTTTATTGCCATCCAAAACAAACAAAAAGGAGATCCAGTGACACAGGTCAGCTGTGTACATGGCCCTGGGAAAGATAAACATACTTGAAAGAATCAAGGAAGATCTATCTATGTCAGCTTTTTATTCTGAAGGTTTTCAAATATGTCCCTGTGTGCCCATCACTTACCTGCAACTTTTGCCAATTTAAAGTTATTTCGTCTGTGTCCCTGTAGCCCCAGCTAATGTGCTATGTAGACCAGGCTGGCTTTGAACTCACAGAGATCTACCTGCTTCTCCCTCCCGAGTGCCAAGATGAAAGTCATGCACCACCACATCTGGGATGTTAGATTTTCTAAACATAGGTTCTGGGAATCAAATCTCAGGTCCTTATAATTACCAGGCATGAAGTTTACCCAAATGAGCTATCTCTCCAGTCCCCTCTTTGGTTTATTTTAAAAACAAACAAACAAGCAAACAAAAAGGGAATACTTTTAGATATACAGAAGTTAAAACAAAGAATTTCTGCAGAACCCTCACACGGGTTTCTTAATATTTTCCAGGGCTATGGTACAATTGTTAAAAATAGGAAATCAACATATGGGGCTGGAGTGATGGCTCAGTGGTTAAGAATGCTTGCTGCTATTCCAGAGGACCTGAGTTCAGTTCCCAGCATCTACATCAGGTAGCTCACAACTGCCTGTAACTCTAGCTCCAAGGGATCCAACATCTTTGGCCTCCTCTGGCACCTACACATGCACATAATTAAAAATACAGTAAATCTTAAACAAATAAATACCCTCCCCCAAGTATTCAATGTGTGAATATTAAGAAAAAAGAAATAGATATGGGTCTACTCCAGGCTGAATTGGATTTCACTGTTTTTTATGCTAACCTCTCTTTTGTTTCCAGTGTCTGGCATTGTTTGTGTGTTTTAGTCTTCTTTGGTCTGTGAATTTCTCATACTTTCCTAATTTTTTGCTTTTGACAGTGTTGGAAAGGACCGGTCCCATGTCCTTCAGTTTGGCTGTGCCTAGTGCATTCCACTTGATCGAGCTGGGGGCTCTGAGGGAAGGATGTTCCAGAGATAAATACCCTCAGGATTGCAGTGCATCACAGGGGTTTTTAAACGAGTGGTAACATGAGTGCAACACTCTTCACACACCTCAGTTTTTCTTTTTAAATTTATTTTATGTGTATGGGTGTTTTGCCTGCACCATGTGTATACAATGCCCATGGAGGTCAGAAGAGGGCATTGGATCCCCTGGAACTGGAGTTACAGGTAGTTGTGAACTGCCCAACATGGGTGCTGGTAAGTGAACTCAGGTCCTTTGGAAGAATGGCAAGTGCCCCTAATCACAGAGCCACCTCTATAGCTGCTTCTTCTTCTTCTTCTTTTTTTTTTTTCAATCTTTTGAGACAGGGTCTCCCTGTAGCCAGCCACAGCTGGCCTGACGCTCACTATGTCTACCAGGCTGACTTTGAGCTCACAGAAATCTGCCTGCCTCTGCTGGGTTTAAAGGTATGGGCCACCATACCTGGCTAAGTTTTTGTTTTTAAGATCTATTTTTAACTAAAAAATAAACATTTTTATTTTATGTGTCTGAGTGTTTGCCTGAATGTATGTAAGCATACCATGTGCGTGCCTCGTGCCCTTTGAGATCAGAAGAGGCCATTGGATGCTCTGGAACTGGAGTTACAGATGGTTGTAAGCTGCCATGTGGGTGCTGGCAACTAAACTCAGGTCCTTTGCAAGACCAGCAAGTGCTCTTAGCTGCTGAGCCATCTCTCCAGCCCCTGTGACTTCTACTCATTTGTTCCTTCTCCTTTTCTTCTCATATCTGTTGAAGAAACTCGGTTGTCTGTCTTGTACAGTCCCCTCATCCAGAATGTCACATCTCTGAGATAGTGTTTAGCATGTTCTTCTATCCCACTTTCCCTCTTGTCCTGAAATCCTTGGTTTTAAACACTACCCTGCATGCCTAGTGAAGGGGAAAGAGGACAGCTCAGCTCCCCGGAACCTCAGAGACCTGTCTTTCCTTCTTCTCCCCTCCTTTTCTTTTCTGTCTTAAAAAAAAAATTAAAATTTATTCTTTGACAATTTCATGTATGTATAAAATGTATCTCTTTTTTTGTTTGTTGCTTTTGAGACAGACTCTCCTTATAGCCCCAGCTGGCCTGGAGCTACACTGTGCAGACTAGGCTGG